ATCCAACAAAGCAGGACAGATTTGGTCCCTCAGAGTGTGTTTCGGGGGACATGGAGGACGGAGGGGAAGGCAAGAAGGACAGAGCTCTTCTTTGTTTGTAGCCCGTTGGCACAGCTGGGTCGACACCACGGTTACACTGCACTGTGAGCCCTGAGCCACGGGGAGTGCTCGGTCAGGGTTGGCTCTGCCATTGCTTCTATCAATGTGCACCTCGAGACTGGCAGTCCTTTATTGGGCTTATTAGTCAGAGCCCTGTAAGTGAAAGGTGAATGGCAGCACGCAGGAACGCAACACCTCCAGAACTGTGGCTGAAGCAGAGCAGATGATGAACAGTATGTTTGGGGTGTGAGGACCCAGTGACACGGCAGCTGGCTCACATGCAGCTCCAACCCGTTTCTTTGATGGCAAAAGCCACCTCCAGCCAGAAAGACAGGACATGCCATCTTCACCCCATTTCTCCTGTAGTGTATGACATTGTCTGAATGGAAGACCCTGGAAAGCTGCCTTCCACACCCAGCATGAGGGCAAGGCACAGAGCGACCCCCTCTTGCCAGACACCGAGTCTGATGGTTGTTTTTGGAATCCTTGCCTCCCACAATGTTGAGCAATAGATTTCTGTTGTTTCTAAACTAATTGGGGCTATAATTTGGATCTTGAATGTCCCCCAAAGCCTATGTGTCCCCAGACTGGTGTTTTGGGAAGGGATGCAGTCTTTAAGTGGTGGGGTCAAGTAGGAGGTCCTTTGGTTATCGGAGACGGGGAGGGTGTTCTCAAATGGGCTAGCCAGACCCTGGTCCTTGGGTATTCTTGACTCTTGGCCATGAAAAGCATGCAGGATTTTACTTCACCCCTCCTGCTATGATGTAAGCCTACCGTCCCACAGGGTTAAAGCAATCATGTACTGGAACTTCCAGTGCTCCAATGACCCAGAACCAAACTAAACTTTTCATCTTGGTACGTGATTAGCTCAGGTATTTTGTTACAGTGGTGGAAACCTGAGTAACGCACTCCATCTAAGTTACCTTCTTATGGCTGCCCATGGACTTAGACAAAAAGTGGTACCGAGAAATGGTGTGCTCTGCTGTTAAGAAACACCAAAGATTGTGGACGTTGTTTAGAAACTGGGTGCTAGGAAGAGCCTGGAGTGTTTTGAAATGCATGCTGAACAAAAACTGAATCACAGACCCTGAAGGGAGTTTCTTGTCAGGGCTCAGAAGTGAGTTTTAGGGAAGCCTCCAGTCTTCTCAGAGATCACATGAAAAGCCATGAACACCAGCAGAAACAGGAACATGGCCAGGGTGTCAGGTGGAAACGGGCAATGAGGTGATTAACAATGGAGGAAAGATGATCCTTATTGTGAATCGGCAAGAGACTTAGCCCATTTATCTTGGCATTTTCGGAGGTTTGGGATAATGATGAGGCCACTTGGCAGGAGGTGAGGAAAGTCCTATGCATTTGGCATTATATCCAAGAAGATCTGGAACATCCTCAGCCTGGCCATATTGTAAAGAATGAAAAAAAACCTAATCATCAGAAAACAACAAAGACATGGCCAGGGAACCGTAGATGGAGATTAGCTCTGCAAGATGCTACACATCACAAAGATGGCATCTTGAGATCCCCGGAGCCCTCCCCAGGCCAGGCTGCTAGGGCCCTTTGGGTGGCATGGTTTCTGGACTCTGTTCTTTGCATTATGATTCAGCACTCTCACGGCCCAGCTGTGGTTTAAGCAAAACCAGGCACAGCTCAGGCCACCAATGGTACTACATGGATACCTGCAAAGTGACATCCCCAGGAATAGTGAAGTGTGTTCTCCGTCTGCATGGATACTTGCACCTCAATTTCAAAAGATGCCACAGATATCCTCAAGGCCACCCAGAGAGCTGTGTCAGGCCAAAGGACAACAGAGTCCTTGCTAAGGCAAAGTCCAAAGCAGTCAGAGAAAAGGACCTTCCCGAGCCTCCAGAACTGTAGAGACATCAGTGAGTGACTGCAAGACTCCAACCTGAGAATGTAGCCTACAAAGAAGAACAGGAGCCAGGCGTTGGTGGCACACGCCTTTAATCCCAGCACTCGGGAGGCAGAGGCAGGCGGATCTCTGTGAGTTCGAGGCCAGCCTGGTCTACAAAGTGAGTTCCAGGACAGCCTCCAAAGCCACAGAGAAACCCTGTCTCGAAAAACCAAAAACCAAAAAACAAAACAAAACAAAACAAAAAAAAGAACAGGAAGTGCCCTTAACCACCGAGCCTTCTCTCCAGCCCCATAATTTTGTTTCTTTCTTTTTTTTTTTTTTTTTTTTTTTTTGGTTTTTCGAGACAGGGTTTCTCTGTGGCTTTGGAGGCTGTCCTGGAACTCGCTTGGTAGTTCAGGCTGGTCTCGAACTCACAGAGATCCGCTTGCCTCTGCCTCCCGAGTGCTGGGATTAAAGGCGTGCGCCACCAACGCCCGGCTAATTTTGTTTCTTTTTCCCCCTCCATCCCCAGTTTTTCAAGACAAGGTTTCTCTGTGTAACACTGGTTGCCTGGAGCTCACTCTATAGACCAGGCTGTCCTTGAACTCACAGAATCTGTCTGCCTCTGCCTTCCTAGTGCAGGGATTAAAGGCCTGAGCTATTACTGCCTGGCTTTTTGTTTATTTCTTAAAGAAGCCAAGACTGTATCTATTATCAAGAGAACTATGGGGTTGCTGGAGAGATAGCTCAGCAGTTAAGAGTACTGGCTGCTCTTCTAGAGGACCCAAGTTCGATTCCTAGCACCCACATGGCGGCTCACAACTGTCTGTAAACTCCAGTCCCAGGGGATCCAATGCTGTCTTCTGAGGGCACTGCACATACATGATGCAAATACCCATACACATAAAATAAACATAATTTACAAAAAGGAGAGAGCTATGGTGCTGTGATTTGTAGCATACGTTTTTAAAGCTGCTAAGGTGGCTGATGAGGAGTTGTTTCAAAATGCTATGTCAGCAGTGTCATAGTTACCTTTAGATAGTATTCAGGATAGAATCTGTTTTCTAATTTCTAAACTCTTCTAAATCAGCTAATATGTACCTAAGCACTTGGCTTGGACTATCCTGTGGGGCTGGAATATACAATAAGTCCTCTGAGATCTTGATATATTTAATTCTGTCGTCCAGATTAGCAGTAGAAAACATGGTGTTATGACTTGAACTCAGCTCAAAGTCTCAGCAAAATTATAACTGTCCAAAACTTTTATTTTATTTTTGTTGGTGATTAAGCTATTTGTGCCTTTTCCCTGAGTGCTCAACTTTCAAAAAATATATTTACTAAGTGCCTTCTATGTGCCAAGATTTGTTCTAGACACTGGGAAAATAGAAATTAGCCTAACATGCTCTGTCCCAAGGCGTCTCGATCACTTTCACGTCACTGTGACCCAGATACTAGAGAGGACAACCTAAAGGAGATTTATTTTGGCTCCTGGTTTTAGAGCATTCAGTCAGTGATCACCCTGTCTTGTGTCTCTGGGGCTGTGGTGAGGCAGAACATCATGACAGGTGAGCACACGGGGGTTGGGGGGGGAAGAGGCTTCTTCACCACAGGGAAGCTGGGAAGTAGAAGGAGTGAGAGGAACAGACAAGGGAGGGGCCCAGGAGAGAACACAGCCCTTGACAACACACCCCCAGCCAACCCACTTCCTTCAGCTAGACCGCACCTCCCAACATTTCCAGACCCTCCCAAAGTAGCGCCCCCAGCTGGGAAACAAGTATTCAGCACGTGAGCCTGTGGGGGGACACTTTATGTTAAACCACAACAAGCCTCCAGAACAGGGAGAACAGAAAGCAACTGACCAGTTATGTAAAAGAGAGAAAACGTTCCACGGGGCCAGGGACCGGTGAGAGCCTGGAGTTCGTTCAGTCATTGATTGATTGATTGATTGATTGATTCATTCATTCATTCGAGCATTTGTCATCCCCATTGACCTCATCCACTCCATGCTAGGGACAGGGAAAGCAATGAAGAAGAGAAGGCCCACCCCTTCCCTGACCTCACCTTTGGTCAAATGGAAACGAAAGACACGCAAACAGATAGTTTCAGATGGTAGAGTACGCGGGGGAAGCACCTGCAGGCAGCCACTACTTCTGGGACAGTGAGGATGGCACAGTGCCTGCACGTTGGGCGGTGAGGACGGAATGGTGCCTAAGATGCAACGGCGGGGGGAATATTGCATATAACAGGGGCAGGAGAGACCGCAGCAAAGGAGTTTCCAAACAGAGGAGAAACACTGGGCAACGTGAAGGCTGCGAGGAGGTGGTGAGTGGAGTTCGCCAACAGCAAAGCCCTGACAAATCTTGTAAGCTGTTTGAAGAGTTTGGCCTCTTTCTGAGGCTAACGGTTACGTTCAAGCAATGGGGGGAAATGTTTAATTGTTCACTTTAGAAAACCACCAGCTGCCAGTCAGTGTTTTGGGGTGTGAGATGCCAGAGACAGGACACTGTTGAGAGGCTCCTTAAAGTTCTCTTTGGGAAGTGCTGGCCATGGCTGAGCTCAGAGTGGTGATGGAGACTGAGCTGGGAACCCTGGCAATAAAGGGCATGAGGGAGGATACTCAGTTCTGCCCTCAGCAAGGGAGAAAGTAGTCCAGCACAAGAAGCTTGGGGTTGGGAGTAGATCTCCATGGGATGTGCTGAACTTGAGGGTCCTGTGGGGTAATCGGATGGGCATGTCCCATGGGGCCTGGCACTGTAAGGAGAGTGCTTGACTGGAGCCTGCAGTTGGGAGCTCTGAGCCCTGTGAACACTGGTGACATCACTCAGGAATGCTTAGAGGAAGACAAGAAGTAACATCTCAGAAAAGATAGGGATGGAAGAGAGCAATATGGACTAAGAGATGTAATAATGGGAGTCACAGAAGGGACTAAGCCCTGAACTCTCATCTTGAAAAGCTGGGCTGGATGGTGCTGTCTGAAGACTTCCTGGGGAAACCTTCTTTTCTTGGCACCACCAGCACACCCACTGCAAAAGGCAGCTGGAGGCAGAAGTCAGAAGGCCACCTGTGTCTTTTATTGATTGTTAAAAACACGTCTAAAAACACAGGAAATAAGCTCGTATAAGAACTTGATTCTTTTTGATGGGTTTGGTACTAGGGGTTGGAGCGTGAGTGGGTGGGTGGCTTCAAAGAACAAAGCGTCTCTCAGAGTGTGGTGACCTGCACACCTCAAGAAGCCTCAGCTATAATGACAAGCCACAGCCTCTAAGAGGTGCAGGAGTGGGTGGGGCCTGGAAGGAGGGAGACAGGCATCCTTAAGCCATGGCCTAGATAGGGATGTAGGCTCCACACAATCAAATACCAAGACTTAAGATCCAGCAGTGCGGTGGTGGTGCACTCCTTTAATCCCAGCACTCGGGAGGCAGAGGCAGGTGGATCTCTGTGAGTTCAAGACCAGCCTGGTCTACAGAGTGAGTTCCAAAGCCACAGAGAAACTCTGTTTTGAAAAACTAAACCAAACCAAACAAAAAGTCTTAAGATCCCTCAGAGCCACATTTACCAAGGGAACACAGGGAGAAAATGGGGAAATGAGTCAATTCTCACAGGCCCAGTGGTCCACATTAAGGAAACTTCCTCCACAGACATGCAAGGGCTAGACCTTCCAAGTCTCAGGCCAGAAATTTGGAATATCAGACACCAGGAGCATCTGGAGCAGCAGGAACATCTGGAGCAGCAGGAACATCTGGAGCAGCAGGAACATCTGGAGCAGCAGGGCATTTAGAGCACTGGGGACATCTGGAGCAGCAGGGACATCTGGAACATCAGGGCACTTGGAGCATTGGTAACATCAGGAACATCTGGAGCAGCAGGAACATCCGGAACATCAGGGCATTTGGAACATCGTGAACATCTGGAGTATTGGGAGCATCAAGCTGTTCTGTCCTCTGTTGTAGCTCTCACATAGCTGAGGTGGCTTCCTCCAGGATTTGGGAAGTGCTGTGTTACAGTCCAACCATTCTAGATTATTCTTTTTTTTTTTTTTTTTTTGGTTTTTCGAGACAGGGTTTCTCTGTATTGTTTTTGAGGCTGTCCTGGAACTCACTCTGTAGACCAGGCTGGCTTCGAACTCACAGAGATCTGCCTCCCTCTGCCTCCCGAGTGCTGGGATTAAAGGCATGCGCCACCAATGCCCGGCTCCATTCTAGATTATTCTAAAACGAGCTGTGTAAGCCCTTTTCAGCTTGCCAAGAAGGCGTGGTTGTTTTAGAATGCTGGTTTTCAGTGCTTGCTGGGATCTCAACATCATCGTAGTCATTTTCGGAGCTCGAGATGGAAAAGATCTTCTTGTTTCTAACTTTCCTCACTGATGAGTACCAAGCCAGTGGTTGGTTTGGAGCTTCCTGTGGGGCTAAAGCACAGGAAAAGGTTGTTACATGCAAGGCTACTCTGTGTTGATGTATTTTTGACTGAGTGGCTCAACATTAGCTTTGAGCCCATTTCAGATCTTCCCACTTCCTGGAAGGCTAGTTCCCCATTTCAGAGGTGAAAACCAGTCACAGGCATGACACACGTCTCAGGATCGCCCAAGTGCCTGAATGACAAATGCTGGGCAGACTTCTTGGCTCCCACATCTCTGCTTTAAAGCCTCATATCAAGGGAACTATGATGAAACACTTAGGAAACAGACCACAGCCAGTTACTAGGTGATCACAGCTGTGTCCACAGATCCCAGACCACGAGGGTCTGGAGGACTTGGTGCATCCCTCCCCATACCCTAGGTTGCTCCCCAGGACTGTTTGCCATAGCTCACATGCAAATCTGCATGCTAAGAAGGAAGGAAATGGGGTGTGTATGTGTGTGGGGGTTGTTTTCAAAGATAGAATCACTGCAGAATGGGTCTATAGCAGGAACAAGAGTGGTTACTGCTGTTCATCTGTGACTTGAGAACGATTCTCCTGAGGTTCGTGTGTGTTGGAGACTTGGTCACCAGTGTGGTGACATTAAAAGGTGTGTGTGTGGGGACTCAACCGTTTACAGTTCTTACTGATTTGCAGAGGACCTGGGTTTAGTTCCCAGAAGCCATATCAGGTGGCTCACATCCACCTCTAACTCCAGCCCCAGGGGATTCAATGTCCTCTTCTGGACTCTGGACACATGTGCACTTATGGCACACATGCGGGCAGACACTCAATCACATATGAACACAAAACTAAAATTTAAAAAGGTGGCAGGACCATCAAGAGTTGGAACCTAGTTAGAATCGGTATAAATCCCTCCTCTGCTCCCTACCCTGTCCTATCATGTGATTTCTTGCTGTCACATGGGCTCCTGCTATGATGCCATGCTTGCCATGTGATGTAGCTTTCCAGTGCCAGGCTGTTCGGACACTCAGTCACCAAAGCTAAAAACTAAATAAGCCTCATTTTAAAAATGCTACCCAGTCTCAAGTATTTTGTTGTGGTAACAGAAAATGGACTAATACACTGATGGATAACTTAGCTACACCTATAACGAGAACCAGATATGCCTCCACAATAATTGTATCTTCCTCCAAGGAAATTGAAAAACCATTGCCATTCCATTTCCTGTAAAATGAGTTCATGTTTAGACTCCATCAGTCAGTTTTGTGATCATGGGTAAATCACTTAACTTCCCTGGGCATTAGTATTGTCAACTGCCTAAGGAACATTGATAGCCATCAGTTTCACAGAGATATGAAGGTTTACATGAGGTCATGTCTAAGAGGGAGCCAGTCAAGAGAACCAGGGAACATTCAGGAATGGTGGGGTTCACCTGTAATCATAACACTTGGGACATGAAGACAGAAGGTTTAAGGAGTTCAAGTTAATCCTTGCCTGCTAAGGGAGTTTAAGGCCAACCTGGGCTACATGAGACCCTGCATCATAAAACAAAACAAAACACAAAAAGGGACTGAGGAGTTCAGTCTGCAAAGTACTTGCCTTGCAGGCATGAGGATCCAAGTTTGATTCTCAGAACCCCTGTCTGTCTGTCTGTCTGTCTATCTATCTATCTATCTATCTATCTATCTATCTATCTATCTATCTATCTATCACCTATTCATCTATCTAGAGTCTTCTTATCCATCTATCATATATCTATCACTATATCTATCAATCTGTAATCTATCTCTCCATCTATCTATCTATCTATCTATCTATCTATCTCTCTATCTCTCCATCTATCTATCTATCTATCATCTATCTATCTCTCTATCTCTCTATCTCTCTCTCTATCTATCTCTCCATCTATCTATCTCTCTATCTCTCTATCTCTCTATCTCTCTATCTCTCCATCTATCCATCTCTCCATCTCTCTATCTATCTATCTATCATCTATCTATCTCTCTATCTCTCTATCTCTCTATCTATCTATCTCTCTATCTATCTATCTATCGTCATGTGTGGTTGTCATGGCGGTGCACATCTGTAATCCCAGCAGAGGGCAGATCCCTAAGACTCACTGGCCAGCCTGCCTCATCTGCTTGGTGACTTCCAGCCAATGAAAGATTGTTTTTGTTTTTGTTTTTTTCTTTTGTGTGTGTGTGTGTGTGTGTGTGTGTGTGTGTGTGTGTGTGTTTCTCTGTGTAGCCCTGGCTGGCCCAGAACTCTCTCTGTAGACCAGGCTGGCCTCGAACTCACAGAGATCTGCCTGCCTCTGCCTCCCGAGTGCTGGGATTAAAGGCGTGCACCACCAATGCCCAGCCAAAAGATTGTTTTCTAAAAGATGTGGATGGTGCTCTAGGAACGACAGATGAGGGTTGTCCACTGGATTTCATGTGCATATGTCATTCATTCTCAAGCACATGTACACACATGAACACACACACACACTAAGGTTGAAAAAAAAGCCACAATCCACAAGATGGGAGGAGCCCTCCCCAGCTATCAAAGTAGCTAGGACCTTGATCGCGGTCTCCCCGCCTCCACAACTTGTTGAAGCTGCCCAGTCTGTAGCATCTTGTTAGTAAGCTAAAGAAGACACCTCCATACATTCATTATCCTACCCAGAATGAAACTGTTATCCGTAAAATGTACTTACCAGGGTCTCCTGGAAAAGGCGAGCCTCTGGGGGGCAGAGCAGGTAAGTGCCCTGAAAAGGAATTATGAATATTCCTAGAGAGAGAGGAAGAGCAAGAGGGAGCCAGTCACTAGTTGGTTGGAATCAAGCCTACTGCCAGCTGCTTTGTAAGATATTAAGGTGAGTGAGTGGGTTGAAGATTCAAATCTAGATTCCTACAGATTAGAAGCATTTCCTTCCCTTTCTAGATTCTGCATTCCATGTCTGTCATCCCAAAGAAATCATTTCCCATAGCTCAGTGAATGAGCATGGATAGTCCTTAGGGCACAGGGTCCATCCTCCTGTGTGACTGTAGTGCATCAGGTATATTTCAGTTTGCAAGGCAGATATACTTCCTGCTCATGTTAGGTATCAACACTGTGTCCAGCAGTGATGCTGCAAAGTTACCACATATGTGTCCAGAATGTTCCAGGTGGGCTTGTTCACAACAGCCTTGCTGTTACACATGCTAAATGGCCCCCAAAAGTACAGTGTGGCATTATTGGAAAGTGATGAAAGATTTAAGAGTTGGGGCCTAGTGGGAAGTTTTCAAGTGACTGGAAGCACGTGTTCAAAGGTGGGCCCCAAGACCCTTCTGCCTCTCTTCACCCTCTTGTCCTGGGCTGTGAGACGAACAGTTCTATCCCGTGGTGCACTCACTCCCACCACGACGCACGTCCTCACTACAGGCCCAAGGCAACACGGCCAACCAACCATAGCCTAGAAGCTGGAGAGCTATGAGCAAGAGAAACCACGGCTCTTTATAGGCTGATTGTCACAGGCATGTGTTTCAGTAACAGAAATTTACATATAAGTCACCACCACACTACCCAAGCGCCCACTCACAGCAGACGGGACAGATCGACCATAGCCTGCTCCTACAGTGGAATGTTCTACAGCAAGCAGAATGAACAATCTACAACGACACTCAATGAATCTGACAAAAATAGTATTGACCTGGGGTTATAGCTCAGTAGTGGAACCTGGCATGTTATATGTGAGACCCTGGGGTTGAAGTGAACCCCTAGTACTGGAAAAAAAAAACACGAGAAAAGATGTGAAATATTGTGTTCTATTCTGTTCACACAAAGCACAAAACAAAGCACCTTGCTGATCCCTTCTGGCTAGTAGGCATTTGGGGGTGCCATGCTGCAGGCCTTAGAAAAGAAGTAGCTATGGTGTTAGTGCCATTCACTCTTGATCTGGGCACTGTTACCTGTGTCTGCTCAGTTCATGGGAAGTGGTTGAGCTGTGTGTTTCCTGGAAACATTTTTCTGTAGTAATACCACACTTCTGTGGGAAGTTTTCAGTGTAGTACCAGCAAGGCACTGGCTGTCTGGCTGTGTGATACATGATTGACTTACTCATAAATAGATCAGACTGGGCAAGGAGAAGCTGTATTTGTTGGTCTATTTGAACCCCAATAAAATCCATTTGAGGAAAGTGTAGATTGTGTGTGTGTGTGTGTGTGTGTGTGTGTGTGACTGATAATCACTGTGTTTATGCACCTGAGTCTTTGGAACTTTGGCCACTTCTGATGGGTATGCTCTGTTTGTCTGGGCCCTTGACTCCTGGAGGGGCTGGAGACTGCATAGTTTACCAAGGCTCAGCTGATCTACCCAGGTCTGTGATGAGCTACATGGGTCTGTGATGAGCTGTGTGGGTCTGTGATGAACTATAGGCATCTGTGATGAACTATATGGATCTGTGATGAACTATGTGGATCTGTGATGAACTATATGCATCTGTGATGAACTACATGGGTCTGTAATGAGCTGTGTGGGTCTGTGATGAACTGCCGGGTCTGTGATGAGCTGTGTGAGTCTGTGATGAACTATATGCATCTGTGATGAACTACATGGGTCTGTGATGAGCTGTGTGGGTCTGTGATGAACTATAGGCATCTGTGATGAACTATAGGCATCTGTGATGAACTATATGGATCTGTGATGAACTATATGCATCTGTGATGAACTACATGGGTCTGTGATGAACTGCTGGGTCTGTGATGAGCTGTGTGGGTCTGTGATGAACTGCCGGGTCTGTGATGAGCTGTGTGAGTCTGTGATGAACTATATGGATCTGTGATGAACTATATGGATCTGTGATGAACTATATGCATCTGTGATGAACTACATGGGCCTGTAATGAGCTGTGTGCGTCTGTGATGAACTATATGCATCTGTGATGAACTACATGGGCCTGTGATGAGCTGTGTGAGTCTGTGATGAACTATATGGATCTGTGATGAACTATATGCATCTGTGATGAACTATATGCATCTGTGATGAACTACATGGGCCTGTAATGAGCTGTGTGGGTCTGTGATGCTTCACATTTGTTGACACACATATTTTCATACACAGTCGCTGGGATCTGTCCTTGAATTAACAGGGAAGGACAGCTGGAGGCTTGTGTCTGGTTCCTCCAAGATACCACCCTGTGTGCCTTCTTTGTTCTACTGATTTTATCTATTTTTGGCTGTATTAAACTATAGTGTGCTAGGCATGGTGATGCACAGCTTTGATCCCAGCATGCAGGAGACCGAGGAAAATGGATCTCTGTGAGCTTGAGGCCAGCCTGGTCTACATAGTGAGCTCCAGGCTAGCCAGAGATACATAGTAGAATCCTGCCTCAAACAAACAAAAGACTGTGTGAATGAGATAACTTCTAGGTCCCATGAGTGCCTCTCACAAACAGCAATAAAAGAGCCCAAACACATCACAAAAAGCAGAAGTAAGGCTGGTGCTCGGGCTGAAGGATCCAGGTTTGTTCCCAGCCCCAACGTGGTGACTGTCTGTAACTCCAGTTTCTGGGGACCCAGATGTCACCCTTCTGGGGCATCAGGCACATGCATGGTGTATAGACATATATGTAGGCAAAACACTCATACACATAAAATGAAGATAAATCTTTAAAAGGTGAAGCCAATGTTGTGCTTTTATACAACTTTTTCAGAGACTCACACTTGTAATCTGCCTAAAGCGAGGAAGTATTACAGAGTCTGGAACACAAAGCCTAAGCAGCACGCTCGGTCAGAATGGACACGTTCAGGGAGTCTCCATAACAGTGACAGAGGTGCTCTGCGCTCACCATGCCCCGGGCCTCCCACAGATGGAGAATTCATCTCCCCAGCTCCACAGGAAAGGGGGCATTGCAGACATATCAGAGCAAGAGTGGAAAGGCCCAGTGAACAGATGGTTCTCAGAGGTGAACAGCAGGAGTCTGCCCGCACTTACTCATACATCTCTTCATCTCTTCCATCGTGTTTCGAGGGCTTGGCAATCGCCCATTTCTTGTCTAAGGGGGAGAGCCATATTCGTTAGTGACAGTTGTGACTTCCGAATTTTGAAGTCCTTGGAAAACAAGCAGATCCAGGACATTTGGAAGGGAAGTGCCAAGAGCTAACTGACTTAGCATCTTGCAAGTGATGGAGCTGGCCTTTGGACCCTGGCCATGAAGCCACAGAGCCAGGGCGTCAACCCATGGCTGTCAGTAGTAATGTGGGCTGTTTCTGCATTGCTTCATGCCATGGCTGGTACCTGGCAGGTTGTGTGAATATGCAGAAATGATTGGGATGAAATGAAATAAGAAATGGGAGGAATAGTTTACGTTGTGATGTGTTGGGTGTGTGTGATGGCTATTCTTGGTAGTCAACTTGACTACATCTGGAACTAACTAAAACACTCCAAATGGCAGGGCACACCTGTGAGGGGTTTTTGCTTAATGAAATCATTTGAGGTGGGAAGATCCACTTCTAATTCCGATCTTTGATGTGGGAAGACCCACCTCTAATCCGGGTCACACCTTCTGCTGGCAGCCTGTATAAAGGACGTGGAAGAAGGAAGCTTTGCCCTTTGATGCTTGTTCTTGCTCTCACTGACAAGTCCATTCCTTCCCTGACATTAGAGCCTACTCCTTCAGGGTTCCAGCACATTCTGAACACCAGCTGAGACATCCAAACTTGTGGACTGAACAACTACTGGGTTCTTGGACCTTCTGTTCATAGTCAGACATTGTACTAGCTGAACTGCAGACGCCTGAAGGACAGTGCCCTGGTCACTTAGGGAGGCTCACCAGGGCACCCTGTATACCATCCCTGGGCATGCTCCTAGCTTAGGCCACATTTTATTTTTCTTTTAAAGGGCTAGGATCTCAAGGGACTATACCACTGATTGGGGGTTTATGTTTCTGGAGATAAACAACAATCTGGAAAACCCACTTATAGATAATCTAAAGTTGGTGTTAATCTCTAAGTAGTCACTCTTTATGAGGAGAGAACAGGTCTTGAAGAGAGAAGGCAGTCGTGGTGCGAAAACACATTCATCATGGATTAGATTTGTGTTTTAATGCATGCAGGAGACAGTTGACTTTCTACAGACTCCTGTTTGTTCCCATCTGAGCCCCACAGAAAAGATGATATCAGCACCAGGCAGAAACAGGGCTCCAGTCCCGGTGCCTGGAGACAGACTCTGCCTCTGCTATTACCCAAATCCTCTGCCAAGGTCTTCGGAGATAAATCTCCTCCCCTTCACCATGTCTATGAGAAACGGAGGCCCAGCGACAGAGTTTAGTGGCATGGCTAGAAAACACACCCAAAGTACGTGATGCTCCGTCTAAGCTCAGCCCGCACACGTCCAGGCGGATCTGGAGCTGCACTGAGCTGACACCACCTGCCCCGCCCCCACCTACACCCACCTGCACAGGTAATTTGGCCGTCATTACCTTGTCTAAACTGTCTCCTGTAGACACAGTACAGGATGAGACCCAGGACCAAGGAGACAACGACGATGGCCACAGCTAAGATGATCCAGAAATTGTCCCTCCACCAACTCATTGCTGTGGAAGCCTAAAAAGAATAGAGACAAGGCATGAGAGGAAAGCCTGCAGGGTGGGGCCGTCATCTACCACGCTTCCTGACACATCTGCTGAGGAACCAGAGAGTCAACCATTATAGACAATGCTTGAGCAGGTCACAGGCAAGTCACTCAACGTCTTCTGAGTCTGTGCCCCATCTCTAACATGGGACTGATGCTGCCAATGACTTCATGGAAGTTTGGGAGGTTTAACTTTATGTCACATACCTACTAGGCACTCCAGAAATAGAGGACATATGGTGAAGCAGAGGGAAGATGTACCACTGAGAGCCATCCCCAGCTTCAGTTCCTCATATCACAAAGACAAGATCCACGTTTTATTAGTGTGGAGAGAGAATTTTGTTGTTTGTCTTGAGGATGGGCTTAGGAAAAATAGCTCCATAGGTGCTACGATTTGAATACAGTTTGCTCCACTAGAACCCATGCTGAGGTTTGGTCACCATGACACACAGTATTGAAAAGTGGTGAGATTTTTTTTCTAATAAAAATTATTTGATATGTATGAGTGTTTTGACTGCATGTCTCTCTGTGCACCACATGTGGCCCTGGTGCCCGCAGAGCCAGAAGACAGTGTCTGATCCCCTGGAATCAGAGTTTTGGACAGTTGTGAGCTGCTGTGTGGGTGCTGGGAATCAAACCCTGAACCTCTGGAAGAGTGGCTGGTGTTTTTAGCAGCTGAACCACTTCTCCAACCCCCAGGTGGTGGGATTTCTTTGTTTCTTCATTTTGATTTTTGGTTTTGTGGAGACAGGGTTTCTCTGTGTAACAGTCCTGGCTGTTCTGGCACTTGCTTTGCAGACCAGGCTGGACTCGAACTCACAGAGATCTACTTGCCCCTGCCCAAGTGCTGGGATTAAAGCTGATGGTGGAATTTTAAAGAGTCATATGGAACTGGGTGTGGTGGTTCACATTTATAACCCCAGCGCTCCAGAGCCTGAGGCCTCAAGTTTAGGAGTAGCCTTGGCTACAAACAAACAGCCCTCCCCTAATAAAAGACATTTGGGTCGTGAAATGCACCCTCTAATGAAACCATTGACATTATTTTATGTGAAGGAGCCTGTACACACCAGTTCCCTTCTAGTCAAGAGTTGAAATAGTAAGAAACCTTCGCCATGTAATCTTGGGACTCCCAGTTTACCTCTAATTTTCCAATTAACCCTGAGCCAAAATAAATCTCTCTCTCTTTTTTTCAAAAGGAGTTATCCACTCTGTTGTATAATACAACAAACAAGACCACGAGTCCCTTTGAGCATGGTGTGGTACAAACTGTAGACGCAGTCAGCTGAGTTAATGCACATGGAAAAATATCAGGAATTTGGGGGTCCAAAGACTGACTAGAGAAGAGTCCAAAGACCTGGGGTAAAACCAAACATGACTGGTCAAACAGACAGACAAATAAGAAGCAGTAAAGTGCCTCCTCATGATGATCTGCTGTACTCGGAGATCAGTGCCTCATCCAGTCATCATCAGAGAGGTTTCCTCCGGCAGCAGATGGGAACCCATGTGGAGAGCCACCGCCAGACATTATGCAGAGAGAGAGAGAGTCTAAATTGGAGGTCTCCATTAAACCCTTCCCCTCAGAGTTCAGGGAATCCTGTGGAAGAGGAAGCAGAAAGTGTGTAAGAATCAGAGAGGATGAAGACACCAGGATAACACAGCTCCCTGGATCAACTAAGCAAGGCACATATGAGCTCACAGAGGCTAAAGCAGCAATCACAGGGCCTACGTGGGCCTTCAGCACATCCTCCATGCGTGTATTCTAGCTACTAGCTTAGTGTTTTTATGGGAGAAAGGGAGTGGGCCCAGAGTAGAGGTGGGGAGGAACCTGGAGGAGCAGAGCGAGGGGAAACCATAATCAGGATATATGGTCTGAGAAGAGACTGACAAGAGTCTTAGAAAGGATTACCAGCAGAGGGCGGAGTCAAGAATAAAGCCAGTCATACCCCAGTTAGAAAGTCCCATAGTGGAAAATGATCACGGCGTTTATAAGGGAGTTATGTGTTAGTCCCAAGCACCACCCTGAAGCCGCTGTGAGCAAGAATTCCTGGAAAGAATCTGTGTTTGTACAGGCTGACATGTCAATGGTGTGGAGAGGCTGGGAGTTTGTATGCAGCTCCAGAGCCTAGTGACGGTTTGTCTTGGCCTATGCCTACCCCCTAAAGAGCCATTCTTTACCCACTTCTGTGTGGCAATTAACATGCTGTAACTAACAGATAAGGCTGAACTAACATTCTAAGCAGCAGACTGTATTAACTGAATAAAAGCCCCGTTTTCCACCAATCAAAGGCTAAAAATGCTATCGGCTAGTATCTGAGGCCTCTAGCTAAGATTTTTTTTTTTTTTTTGCTGTTGCAACCTATTTCTCTGAGTTTTTGTTTGTTTGCTTGTTTTTTGTTTTGAGACTAAGTTTCTCTGTGTAATCCTGGCTGTCCCTAAACTCACTCTGCAGACCAGGCTGGCCTAGAACTCAGAGATTTGGCTGCCTCTGCTTCCTAGGTGCTGGGATTAAAGGCATATGCCACAATGCTTGGCCATCTATACGATGTTTTTAACTCACTGGTATATATTTTTTTAATGTTTTGATTTGAGACTAGAGAGATGGTCTGGAGGTTAACAGTACTTGTTGCTTTTCCAGAGGACCTGAGTTCAATTCCCAGGACCAACATCAAGTAGCTCACAACCATCTCTGGGGGAATCTTTCACCTCTGGCCTCTGCACACACACACACACACACACACACATAATTTAAAATGATAAAAATAGGTGCTGGAGATGGTTCAGTGGTTAAGAACACTGGCTGCTTTTCCTAAGGATCCTGGTTTCATTCCTAGAAACCTCACTGAGGATTACAACCATGTGTAACTCCAGTTCCAGGGCATCTGATGCCCTCTTCTGGCCTCTGAGAACACTGCACACACTTAGTGCACAGACACACATGCAGGCAAAACACTCATAAGGTAAAAATAAGTAAATATTTTTAAAATGATAAAAATAAACATTATACCGAGTCTTGATTTATGACTTTGTTTGTGCTGTTACTTAATGAAACTATGTGCACATTGGAACATGGAATTGTAGGTAACCTAAAATTATTCTTCCTAGGCCATGGTCATTCATATTTAGCTCTAGAATAAACAAACTCAACTCCCTGGAGGTGAGAGCTGTTTTTGCATTGACACTGTATTGTAAACACACGGTAAAATGCACGATCCCCCAAACTTTGCACGAGCAGAGCCTGAGGGTAAGAATGACATATGCACAGTGGCTTCCCAAGCCAGGCAGGACATGAACAGCAGATGCCTGACTTCACGTGAGAGTAGGGTAATTCAGGAGCTGATGGAGAGAGATCAGGCTCTTCATCTATGGACTGGGCACTTTGAAAACTGGAGACTAAGGTAGGGGTCCTTGGACATGTCCTGGAATCTTGGTTATATGACAGTCAACTTCCCATGCCATTGTGTAGGCAGTGGAGACTCATTATTGCATATTCTCATTTCAGATTGATGCTTTTTAGTAATAGTAGTAACATTTAAAAGTGTTGAGGCAAGTAGCAGAGAAACAAGGCAGAATTAGGCGGCAGGAAAGCAAGCTGGCCTGTCTCCCGCCACCCAAAAACGTAATAGGTGGTGGGGAAATCTATTGTGTACAGCTAGCACTCTTTGAGACAATTTATTCTGTAATTTTTGATTCAATGAAGCTTTTGTGATTTGTCCACATCGATGCACTGAGGATCTACTCTCAGGCTTTGAAGTGTCTACTCCCTGTGACAAGATTCACACTTAGGTACACAGTGTAGAGGTTTTGCTGTAGATAACTTGCCCATTGTGTGCAAAAGAGAACATCAGAAAAGAACTAAAGGAAAATGAAAATGGAAACTGGAAATTCTCTTGACACACGCCTGTGAAGTTTGCATCTACAAGGCCCATGGAGGTTAAAAAACAAACAACAAAACCCAACAGAACCCTGGACTTACAAAGGGACACATATCAGAAGGCTGTTTCTTCACTCTCTTGACAAACAGGGATAATGCTCTTTCTTTAGCCTTGGGGAACCAAATAGACAAAAAGACCTGTGGGTGGGTGAGTGGATAGACAGACAGACAGAATTTCTTCCTTTCCTTTTGTCCCCCCTCTTTTTCAAATGCTTGTCTCTTGGTTCTTTGTCTATCTGTATTCTATATTTTTCTTTCTCTTTGTGTTTTTTTCCCTTTCTTATTTTCTCCAAAAAGCACACATTATCTGCACCTTAAGGTAGCAGAAGTTGGCACCAGGACACAAGGGTTAAAAACTGTTGTGCTGAGCCGGGCGGTGGTGGTGCACGCCTTTAATCCCAGCACTCGGGAGGCAGAGGCAGGCAGATCTCTGTGAGTTCGAGGCTGGGCTAGACCAACAGCCTTGAAAACAATACAGAGAAACCCTGTCTCGTAAAAAAAAAAAACTGTTGTGCTGGAAGACAGGATAAAAGGAGAAAGGAGTTCAGGGGCCATCACTCGAACTGCCAACCCTCTGTGCTACCTGACTTTTGAACTACTTGCATCCATTCTGATAAAACGGGGAAGACAGACTGATAGACAGAAAGGGAGAAAAGCAACCATGAAAAGCTATTAAGTTTCAAAAAAAACTAACTATCTTCACTATATTCTTGGGAAAGATGATAGAGAAGACTGATGTTGCCAGAAAGTGAAACTGTGGACCATTTCGAAGTTGCTCAGGGAGCTAAGGGTTTTGTTTTCCTGGTTTGTCTTAGAAATGAAACTGATCAGATTTGCCATCCATGTTTCTCGTGTGTCCAGGGCCCTGAAAGTCTCCGGAGACACATTCTCATCTCTCGCTTCCTCCTCAGCCCTCACACTTCCCCAGATGGGGAGCAAAGACCAAGGAGAGAGAAGTGACTTTCCCAAGGTCACCCAGAGAGGCCAGAATGCCTTCTCTCTGTGTCACAGGGCCTTCACCCAGTGACAATATGTCTTGAG